TAAGGAACTGGGAATTCTGGCCTCATACCTGAGTCCTGTCATCACACAGTACTCCCCTGCAAGTGATGAGTAACCTTCAGAGAATGCCAAAGTTGACCCTAAAATGTAGTGACTCAGGAAGAGTGCAAAGCTCAGGTTAATGAAAAAAAAAAAATTCCAATGTCTATGACAAGGCTCGAGGATCAAGGTGCCTGGCTGAGCAGATACACGAGTTGATCCTGGAATCCTAATAATGGTGGGAGGGAAGAAACAACTTCTGACAGTTGTTTTCTCCTTCACATGAGTGCCATGGCCTGCACACGTTCACAGACAGTAGTGGAGAGTTTATGACAAGGGTAACAAATAAATAGTAAGAATATCCACTGGATTATGTCTTCTGTGAACATTAGGGCACAGTGGCTGTTCTTGTGGGAGCCCATGGGCTAGTGTGGGGAAATTCACCCCCAAGGAATTGTGGTACTTAATGGCTCAGCTCCTCAGCTCCCATCTTCATCCTTTCCTCACTTCTGACACCTTCTGCCCTTCACCTGTCTCCCTTAAGCTCTTAGCCTCTCCTGTCACTTGCTTTGGTTTGCTTCTTTATATTTTATTCCTCTTTTATAGCCCAGGCTAGCTCAGAATTGCCAGTCTTCCTGCCTCAGTCTCTCCAATGCTGGGATTACAGTACTATACCACATGTTGCTTTTTCCTTTATTGATAGAGTCTTACTCTATAGCCTTGTCTAGCTTGAAACTTACTATGTAGACCAGGCTGCCCTTAAATTCATGGCAACCCTCCTGCCTCAGTCTTATGAGTGCTGGGATCACAGATAGAGCCATCACCCCTGACTCTCACATGTCAATTTTTAAGATAGTGCCTCCTGTCCTCTTACCCTGCTAACCTTGAATGATGGAGTCATCTCTCCACATATCCTTAAATTTCCATTTGTTTATCTCTCTATCCACACTTAAATTGTCTCGAAGAAATATATAACCTATGATTGAGTACCATCCAGCACTGTAGTCATGTGCAATATCTTAATAATTAAAATCTAATTAGATGGAAAAATAAAATACCGTTTACTCAACTGGAGGCTGTAGAGACAGCACAGCAGTTAAGATCCTGTACTTCTCTTTCAGAGGATGTGTGGTCAGTTCACAACATCCACATCAGGTGTCTCAGAAGTGCCTGTAATGCCAGTTCCAGGGCATATGATGTCTCTGGACTCAGTAGGGACCTGAAAAGTATTGCACAGAGTTACACAGACACATGCATAATTTAAGATATAAAAAACAAATCTTCTAAAATTTTTCTCAATTTGCTGGATATGGTGACACATACCTTTAATCCCAACACTTGGGAGTGAGAGATAGCAGATCTCTGTGAGTCTGAAGGCAGCCTGGTCTACAGAGTGAGTTCCAGGACAGCAAGGGCTACATTTAGAGACCCTGTCTCAAAAACAATTTTTTTACTCACTTGTACTAACCATATTATCAGTGCTAAATCAGTCCCTGGTAGCTACAATATTTCACAGAACTCATACATAATGACACCTTCATCAGAGAAGGCTCTATTGATGACTGGACGTGGTGGCACACATCTGTAATCTCAGCATTCTTGAGGTGGAATCAGGAAGATTGTTGTGAGTTTTAAATGGAACTTTAATGAGTTTCAGGCAAGGTACACACACATATATACGAGCCATATATATATAAATATATATAATGTGTGTGTGTGTGTGTGTGTGTGTGTGTGTGTGTGTGTGTATGTGCATCCATGTACATACACACAGAGAGAGGGGGAGGGAAAGACAGACAGACAGAGAGTGAGAGAGAAAGAAAGACAGACAGACAGAGAGTGAGAGAGGGGAAATCCTGTCACAAAAGGTGAGGTTTTTTTTTTTTTTTTATAGTATTCAGGTATTCCTCAATTGGGGCTCCTCCACTCTTGGGATCTCCTTTTCACTTTTCCTTTATAAATTCATGTTAGCTCTGCTAAAACAAAGAAAAACCACAACAAAGGTTCTACTTGGTGGCACTGGCCAGGAGGGGAGAGATGCAGAGACCAGGCCATCACAGCCACAGGGGTGGATGTTCAGGGACACAAGGACATGATAGCCATGAGCAACTGAGATTTGGGAGAGGGGCAGGATGGCTGCTTTAGACTGCAAGTGATCCATGGGAAATGTCCCAGACATTTAAGCAGGGATCAGTAAGAAAGGAGAAAAAGTGAAAACTGTCTGTGGGGTTAAGGAAGAAGAGCCAAGACAGAACACCACCTGGACAGACCTTCAGGATGAATTGGAAGGAAAGACCAATGACTATAGAACAGGAGTCAGGAAAAAAACAAAACAAAACAAAACAAAAACAAAAACAAACAACAACAACAACAACAACAACAAAAACACTGGGTAAGGAATTGGCTCCTTGCACCTTGAGAGAGCTGAGGTGGGGTTGTCGGTGGGACATGACATGGTCTGATTACACATTTACCATCTGTCTCATTGTTTGTGAATTTATTTGTTAGTTGCTCACATACCCGTGTAAGTTGCTTGCACAATTCTGGATATTTTACATCCCTATTGTGCTGAATCATACTCCCCCATCCTTAGTTTATTAATTATAACTGCATTGAAATAAAAATCTTTTCAGAAATTCTTCTTAATTTACTAGGTCATAGTAAAACTAGTATTGAAGCATTTTGCCTTTCAAATGAAAGAGCCATGTTTTAATACTGTGTGAGCCACTGTAACATTTATTCTCCTAGGTTTTGACAGCACAAATGAGAGCACTTGGGTCCATGAGATCCCTCAGCAGGTAGAGGTGCTTGCCACCAATCCTGAGTTCAACCCTCAGGACCTGTATTATAGAAGGAGAGAACCTGCTCCACATAGTTGTCCTCTGACCACATGTGTGCCCTGGCATATTCATGCACTGCCTGACACAAAACTATTTAAGTATAATTTTTTAAAAATGATAAAAATGCTGGTCTTATTCCAAAGGAAATAAGGGAATATCGTGAACCAATTGTTAATGACCAAGGCTCATAACACAATGTAGATTAGTTTATCACGACTACCATGTTCCACAGTGGAAGAGGCTATGTGAATTCTTATAGTCTCAACACAAAAGAACCTCATAAATTATTGTATTTACCTAGGATCCTGGTGAAAACATAAGGCAGATGGGACACAGTAGAACACAGAAATCTCTTGTATAGGTTTCTGAAGTTCTATAATTCTTAGCTAAATAATTAGCTAGCTGTGTTAAAATATAACAATACATCCCACAAGTTGTTCCTGATTGTCACAAGGATGTTAGCTGAGATGCAGAGGTTGGTAGCAAATGACTCCTGAGGGGACCAGAGAGAATTTATACTATTTGTGGCTCTTGAACTTCAACTTTGCATCCCTCCACAGTTTCCCTGCAGGATCTTCACAGTGTGGATTCTACAGGGAACTACAGCTCAAACTTTAGTAGTTAGATAAACTAAAGTGTTTTCAAACATGTAGAGACCGAAAATTAAAGGATTTGAGGCCACCAGGAATGTGCTTACTCCATGGTAGACCTCACCTAGTTACTCAGTTGAATTCCAGGATGTGGAGAAGGTTTCCTTTGTGAATCTGGAAAGCTATTAACCATCACTGTCTGTTCTCTTCATGTTATGAGTGAGTAGGCCATAGGACACCCTGTGAGATGGCTCAGTGACAGTGAGCATGTGTAAAGTAGGAAGCCAACTGTGTGAGACAGTGAATGCCCAAGTTCAGGATCCTTTCTCAATAGAATTCTAAAGGGACAGAATGGTTGGTACCATGTTAAAAAGTAGGACAGTTGTGTCTCATGTTTGTTTTGTCTTGTTTTGTTGAGACAGGGTTTCTCTGTGTAGCTTTGTGCCTTTCCTGGAACTCGATTTATAGCCCAGGCTGGCCTTGAACTCACAGAGATCTGCTGCCCTTTGCCTCCTGAGTGCTGGGATTAAAGGCGTGTGCACCACCACCCGGCTCATGTTGGTTTTATATGTTCTGAAGTTGTCTTCTAATAAAGAAATAAGATGTTTAAAACATTCATGAAAATCATTGTTTGGCCACCAGTTGGCAGCATTAGTTTTAGAGTCTCTTCTCAGTACAGGGGCTGTTAGTGTGAATAGTGCAGGGCCCAGGCCTGAAGATGCTGAGCTCATGGAGGCTTCATGAAAGCCATTGCTATCTTACCAAGACTGGTAACAGGACACACTTTCCTCTCTGAGAGGAATTCATGGAATCTTCTGACCAGAAGTGGAGTTAATGAAGTACTAGGAAGGCTTACACATGATTTTATGGTTTACCAATTAAGAAACAAACGTTGAAATCCAGATGTTGGAATCTGAAGACAAGTTACACCCACCATGAATGGGCTTAAAAGTAGCTGCCTTAGAGGTTCCATGGGGATTTGCTGCCTGTGAGTCAACAGCCTATTGTCCCCGTCACAGCAGATTCTCCAAAGAGCAAACTTCCTTGCTATTTTGTGTAGGAGGTAATCTAGGCATGAAGGCTCTGTGAATGACAGGTTTTGATCTGTACCAAGTGCTTTTCTAGGTATCTCTAGACATCTTCCAGGAAGATGTGGTCTCAGACACCATGTGTGGAAGTATTCTGGCTCAGGATATCTTGCTAGTGATTAAGGTGGTTGAGATTCAGGGATTAACCACTGTAACTACTGGCCAGAAACAATTCTGTGTCCACTGGGAGGCAAGTGATTCTTTGCATTAGAAGGCTGGTCTCTGCTTAGAGTTCTACCAGAGAACACACTCTTGTCTCTGCCTTCAGTTTTCTCTGTTTGCTGCCTTATCTATCTCATGACCAGAAGTGAGATTGCTGGCTGAATGTGAGAAAGGACTGGGAAAGGAGAGGGTATTTGTGAGGAAGAGGTTCCTATCAGAGATGCCTGTGTGATTCATAGTTAGAATGAAGACCTGCTCAGATATGGTATTTTGAGTGTCACAGCTAACCATAGTGTCTTGTGATTTTCCTTCAGGTCAACACCATGATGCATCCTCAAGTCTTCATTTCAGGCCTCATACTACTTCTCCCAGGTAAGTGAGTAGGTGAGCTGCGGGATGCTGAGGAGGCTAGAGCTGGCAGAAGAGATGACAATCCTTGGGCCTTTTTGATTATGGCTTATGTTGTGAGCAGAGAACCAGGATAAATTGTGCTCCAAAGAACTTTCTTAACTTGTATGAATTTCGAAACTCATGGCTAAATAAACATGATTCCCAAGAACATGTCAGGCAAGAGTGAGAACACATGTATTCATGTGATGGACATGTAAGGATGAGTGCATGTGCATGTATATGTTAGTCAACTGTTAACAAAAAATCAGAAACAGAGCTTTCCATGCAGGATGGCTAGTCAAAGTTAGCTTTAATTCCATTTCTTTGTGCATCTTTACTTGTTTAAACCATCTTCAATTATTTATCTTAAAAACATTCTAATTCAAAGTGTTCCATGTAAAGAGAAAAGAAGGAATAACCTAACTGTCTTTGAGACATAGTCTAAGTTAGTCCAGGCTAGCCCCCAACTTCATAGCTAGTTGAGGATCACCTCAAACTTTTGATCCTCCTGCCTCTAGGTCTGAGATTCTCCTAAAAGCTGAGATCACTGGTGAGAAATATATTTCTGTGACTTAATTAAAATAGCATGTGTTTTATTTGTGATCCTAAAAAAGGTATTTGACAAAATCAAGAAATGAGTATCCCAGAAAGAAATATAATACTCATTTTATACAATTACAAATGTGCTTTCTAGATCATGTCCCAACCTCACAGCCTAGGCTGCATATAGGTGGTTAGGGAATCTCGCAGTTCATTGTTTTGTGCTTTTGTTTGTTTGTTTGTTTCCTGTGCTGGGATCCAACACAGGGGCTAGCATGGGCTAGCCAAGCACTGTATCATGGAGCTCCATTCTCAGCCCTGAGAGTTCCTTTAAAGGCTGTTGGAAGCTGTTGGTATTAGAAATTTTATTCCATCATCCCCAAAAGAATTATATTTAATCATTTCAGTTTTTAAATTGCATCATTAAGTTATTGGTTACATATTTTCTGACTATGTGGTCTTACTTTGCTAGTGGGTCTTGCTCAAGTTCTGGAATGTCACCAACTTATAAGAAAAGACTTCTGCTTAGTGTTTTTGTTTGGTTGGTTTTTGGTTTTGCTTTTTGTTCGTAAAGTGCTAATCATAAAGTTCAGAATAAAGCTCAGCCCCTCCTGGTGGTTTTCTAAAACCGTTTCTGAAGACTGACTTTGAAGTTACTAAGATTCTGCCTTGAAGCCAACAATGCTTTTCCAAAGCCCTGGCTCTGCTCTTTGATTAGGAGAGGTGGGAAGAGTTAGTGATTTTGTTGTCATAGCACACTGTGGAGGAGGAGGAGGAAGGATGGTTTCAGACAGGGTCTCCAAATCCTAGGCCTGCCTTCAACTCACTAGTTAGATGAAGCTGGCCTTGAATTCCTCATCTTCCTCCCTCTACCTCCCAAGTTCTGAGTATACAAGTGAGTTCTGGGTTTACAAGTGAGTTCTGGGTTTACAAGCGTTAGTTATGGGCCCAGCTTCTGAAATAAAGTTTTAAATGTTTAATAATGAAATATTTGAGTTGGTCTCAGTGGCACTTGCTAATTACCCAGCACTCAGGAGGCAGAAATGGGAGGATTGTCACCTTAAGCCAGTATGAGGCATATAGCAAGACCCTTTGTCCAAAAGAAATACACACACTGAAGAAGAAAAAAGAAATGAAAAATATCTGTGTGAATATCCTACCACAAAATAAATTCTCTTGTTCACAAATGTATCCATTAAATAATCACATTGAGAAAGAATATGCTAAGAGAAAATTGTTTACAGTCTTCAAATTCAAGCTGTAAAACTGGACATTTAATCTTAGGTTTTGGGAGGTAGAGGCAGCTGAACTCTGGGAGTTTGAATTCAGCCTGGTTTATGCAGCAAGTTCCAGGTCAGCCAAGGGTACAAAGTGATATCCTGGCTCAGAAAACCAAATGATAACAACAAACATTAAGTTGTCTGTTCCTTTTCAAGCCTTCCCTACAAAAACCTCAAAATGAAAACAATAAAACAACAAACAAAACAATAAAAAAAAAAAGAAGGTCTGTAGCTGGGGTTCCACTTATGTCCCTGCTCTCCATATTTTTCTGAAAAACAACAACAAAACTTTAGGAAAATGTTGGATACTAATTCTCCATTCACTCTCTGCCCCTTATTTTTACAGGTGCTGTGGATTCTTCTGTATCAGTGAAGGGGGTGGTGGGTCACCCTGTCACACTGCCATGTACTTACTCAACATCCCGAGGAATCACTACCACTTGTTGGGGCCGAGGGGCATGTCCATCTTTTAATTGTGGAAACACACTTATCTGGACCAATGGATACCGTGTCACCTATCGGAGTAGCAGTAGATACCAGCTAAAGGGGCATATTTCGGGAGGAAACGTGTCCCTGACAATAGAGAATGCTGTTCAGAGTGACAGTGGTCTGTATTGCTGTCGAGTGGAGATCCCTGGATGGTTCAATGATCAGACAGTGACCTTTTCGTTGGAAGTTAAACCAGGTAAGCTTTCTTTCTTTCCTTTGTTTATTTCTTGCAAATAACCTGAGTTTGCTAGCAATTTGTTGTTTTCCTACAAAAAGGAAACAGAAATATGTTTGAACACCTGCTTCTGAGTTGTTTAAAGACATAATTTCCTGTACCTCAGGCTGTCCTCTGATGAGCAAGCTCTCCTGATCCTCCTGCCTCCAACTCCAGTGTTGAGAATGCAGCCTTAAATATTCTTTTTTGAGGCACAGGATGACTTTATTTGCTTAGATGAAGCCCTAAGATCATTCTTAATTCAAGGCTGTGAGCTAAGTCAGGATCCAGGTCCTAAGTGTACTTGGGACAGTCTTGTTGGTCATGAAACTGCCTCCACTCTTCATCCTGAAACACAGTGGAGAGCTTTATTTAAGCTGGAAGTATGTGACTTTAAGAATTGTCTCTTTTCTGTGGGTCTCTCTTAGAATGTTGAATCCCCATCCTCAACACTGTAAAGCCACTCCAGCTCCAACCTGAAAAGCAGAGAGGGCAGGGGTCTGCTGCTCTGTGAGCTGATTTCAACAGTGGTCAGCTGACCTTGCTGAGCACAGGCCACATCACAGGTGGAGAGTTCTGCTCCCTGTCTGCCCTGCCTTGGGCCTTTGAAATAGGTCTCACATCTTGTTATACAATTTGTTGCCTGAACATTGGAACTGTCCTGATGGAAGAGGGTTCCATCCAACACCTGTTCACTGTCACTCAGCAGTGTACTAACAGATGAGCAGCAGCGGCTAGTCCATAAATGACATTGACACACAATTCCCTCCAATGAGCTTTGTTAGAATGAGGAGGCCCCAAGGCCGAGGTCAGACCTCCAGCTGGGAGGGAGAGCATTAGACAGAAACAATACCATCTATGAGGTTCATCCCTTGATGGGGTGTGAAGAGGCTTCCAGGGAAGGAGGGGCTTCTCTTTACAACCTGGAGAGGAGTTTCATTAAGAGCAGGATTGTGTGTGTGTAAGAGAGAGAGAGGGAGAACTAGAGAGAGAGAGAGAGAGAGAGAGAGAGAGAGAGAGAGAGAGAGAGAGAGAGAGAGAGAGCGCTGCCATGACTGGAATGGCAGGTCTACAGAGGATCCTCTTCAGAGAGCAGCCTGCAGAATAATCCTCTCAACATTCCCACTGAGGATCTCAGGCTGGTCCCCAGAGCAAGGAGAAAGTCTGACTTGTTACATCTGTTAGTGGTGGAGGTGTTAGCTGCTAGGTCTCAGGATGAAGACTAACTAAGGTGCTTGTTAACATATCAAAGCAGACACTGGCTGCCATTCTCTCAGCAAGGCCAGTACCTGGCACACCCTGCCCCCTCCATAAATTCTCCAGCCTAGGGACTGGGCTGGGCTGCCCCTCCCCCAGCTGCTCTTCCCTATGTAACCCAGTCATTTTGGCTAGACAGGCCCCTTTGGGTTCTTGACCTTTGGCCCCCTCTCTTGGCTCCTGACTTTCCTCTCTCCTCACATGAGGAGTTCAGTTTGCTGGTCATGTTCACTCAGGACCCTTCTGGATGCCGCTGTCTGTTTTCTCCCTCATATCTACAATAAATCTGCACCATGGGTAGGAGTAGTCATGTCTTCCTTTTATTTCTTTCTTTTTTTTTTTTTTGTCAGTAAGTTTCCTATCATGTATTTTAGTTCACCATAGGTTAAGTAACAGAGAGTATCGAACAGCCAGATGGTGGTTAGGTCCAAATCAGGGCTGTTGTTAGGGCATATAGCAGACAGCTTCTTAACTGTGTCAGGGAGCAGCAGGGAGGTGAGGCTTGACCTATTCAGACTGTGGGATCTGGGGATTTGGTCTAAAGTGCAAGCCCGTGTTCTGACAGTAACAAGTTCATGAAATCCCCAAATCTGGACTCATTACATTTTCTTTCTTTTCTTTCTTTCTTTCTCTCTCTCTCTCTCTCTCTCTCTCTCTCTCTCTCTCTCTCTCTCTCTCTCTCTCTCTCTCTCTTTCTCTCTCTCTCCTTTCTCTCTATTCCCCCTCCCCACCAGTCTCTGTCTCTGTCCCTCCATCTCTCCCTCTCCCTTCCTTTCTTACTTTTCTTTTTGTTTTTTCAAAATAGGGTTTCTCTATGCAGCTCTGGCTATCTTGGAACTTGCTCTTAGACCAGGCTGTCATTGAACTCACAGAGATCCACTGGTCTCCGCCTCCAGAGTGCTGGGATTAAAGAAGTGTTCTACCAACACTAGGTTTTACATTTTCCTTCTTGAGGTAGATATCCTGATTTTTTTGCATTGACTAGAAGAATAGGTTCATGAGGACTTCCTGGCTTCTGATGCTGTTCCTAATCTCTTTTTACTTAAGGGTTTACACAGGCAAATAGAAATCAATAATAGCTGTAATAGAAACAATCTGTCTCTATATCTTTCGATTAAGAACATTATTCTTTAGGCTCCCAACTTATAGACTTTGTTATTCATTCAACCATTCATTTATTTTTATGTTTAATTTGATTTTTAAAACTGAATTTATTATTGTGTGGCTGTGTGTGAATGATGTGTATGTGGTGGGTTTGCATACCATGATGAATTTGCCAGAAGACAAACTCATATGGTTGGTATTATTGTTATACCCTTGTGTGAGTTCTCGGGGTGTAAGTCAGCTGACCAGGCTTGCAAGTCAAGGACCTCTACCCATTGAAACATTTTTTTTGGATCTCTGTTTATTGACTGATTTATTGATTTTGAGACTGGGCCTTGCTTTGTAAATCAGGCTGACCTGAAACTTCTTGCCCATGCCTTAGCCTCCCCAGTGTTGAGATTATGGTCATGTGCGACCACACCTCGTTAGAATGAGGTCCATTCTGATGGGGCAAGGAGTTGCCTTGCAAATCTATGCCTGGGAGGCAATTTAGGGAAGCCAGAAGAAGCTGGTTGGTCATAGTGTGTGCAAAGAAAGATGTATAGGGACAGCTTTGGGGAAGAGACGATAAGATTCCTAGTGACTATCACAGTTGTGAAATTGTATTATTTACCTGGCTGAAGTTGAATGATATTCACCTCCAAAGGTACCCACTCATATGAGAATAAACTTTACACAGAGAGAGGGCTTGGGGAAGTGGAGGAGAGAGATAGCAAGAGAGAGATCTCTCTTTAAAAAAGGCCTTAGGGCATTTTGATGTCTAATTTCTTGAGTTCCTTATATATTCTGGATATCAGTCCTCTGTCAGATGTGGGGTTGGTGAAGACCTTTTCCCATTCTGTAGGCTGTCACTTTGCCTTGTTGACCGTATCCTTTGCTCTACAAAAGCTTCTCAGTTTCAAGAGGTCCCATTGATTGATTGTTTCTCTCAGTGTCTGTGCTACTGGTGTTATATTTAGGAAGTGATCTCCTATGCCAATGCATTCAAGACTACTTCCTACTTTCTCTTCTAGCAGGTTCAGAGTAGCTGGATTTATGTTGAGGTCCTTGATCCACTTGGACTTAAGTTTTGTGCACGGTGATAGATATGAATCTATTTGCAGCCTTCTACATGTTGATATCCAGTTATGCCAGCACCATTTGTTGAAGATGCTTTCTTTTTTCCATTGTGCACTTTTGGCTTCTTTGTCAAAAATTATATGTTCATAGGTGTGCGGATTAATGTCAGGGTCTTCAATTCGATTCCATTGGTCCACATGTCAGTTTTTATGCCAGTACCAAGCTGTTTTTATTACTGTAGCTCTATAGTAGAGCTTGAAGTCAGGGATCGTGATGCCTCCAGAGGTTGTGTTATTGTACAGGATTCTTTTGGCTATCCTGGGTTTTTTGTTTTTCCATATGAAGTTGAGTATTATTCTTTCCAGGTCTGTGAAGAATTGTGTTGGTATTTTGATGGGGATTGCATTGAATCTGTAGATTGCTTTTGGTAAGATTGCCATTTTTACTATGTTAGTCCTGCCTACTCATGAGCATGGAAAATCTTTCCATTTTCTGACATTTGACATCTGTGCTGATTGCATGAGTTGGCTGTTTGAAACCTGGGCCCTATGCAGGATCACTTGGCTCGGCCTGGGAGGAGGGGACTGGACCTGCCTGGACTGAGTCTACCAGGTTGATCTCAGTCCGTGGGGGAGGCTTTGCCCTGGAGGAGGTGGGAATGGGGGGTGGGCTGGGGGAAAGTTGAGGGGGGGTGGAGAACAAGGGAATCTGTGGCTGATATGTAGAACTGAATTGTATTGCAAAATAATAATAAAAAAAAGGCCTTAGGGGATGTCTAGAAATTTGTCTAGCATGCCTGAGGCCTTTGGTTATGTCCCTAGAATGAAAACACACAATAACCAAGTGAGCCCTGTGGTCACATCTTGGGAAATGCACTTGTCTAGCACACATTCCAGCCTAAAAGCCTTGGGTTAGATTTTCAGCACCAGGAGGGGCCTATGTATGTCATCATAGCATAAAATTACTAATTTCAGTTCATTAATTGAAGGTTTTATAAAGCTTAGAAATTCATTAGCAGGTCAGTGCTTACAAAGTCACTGTTTGAGCACTCAACGAGTGTGTAAGTGAGCCAGCAACTCTGTTTAATCCTTCAACAACCAAGTCCACATCTCATGATTTAAACACACGGAGCTTCCTCTTCAGCTGTCCTGGGACCCTCATCAGCTCCTTTGGATTTTCCCATCTACCTGGGAGAAAAAATGCCCCAGAGCAAGAAAAGCAAAGCTCCTGAGCTGGTGATTCTTTCCTGGGTTTGTTCTCACGGTGACCTTCTGACTAGATTGTTCGCATGCTTGCTTTTCTCCACCTCAGAGATTTATGCTCTCCAGGGAAGGTGTGTACTATGCTCAGGCCTCTGGCTGCACATTAGACTGGATCAGCAAACTAACCAGACCAGGTTATAAACAGACGGCGGTAGTGGCAGCGGTAGTGGTGTGGGGGTCCAGCAGAGGCGAGGGACACGTGCTCGTGGTCTCGTGATCTCGCGGTCTTGCTGAAGAGGCGGGAGGAGGCGGCAAGCTGCAGCGGTTACAGCAGGTCCTTGATGGTCTCTCCGAGTCTGAAGGGCACCAGATGTTGGTTAAGCAGCGCTCATGGCTGGCCTATGGCAGCCATGCCAACAGAAGACAGCGCTGGATGTTGTGGTGGCGGAAGAATCACGACCCATGGTTACCTTTTAGAGCTTTATGGGGGTGGGGGCGGCGTGCAGAGGACAGAGGGAAAACGGGGAGAGAGAGAGACCTGTGGAAGGGCACCTCCACTTTTTAGGCTGGGACGCTGTTGCAGGCTGGTGACATAATAAGGACATAATCCTTACACTGAGACCATCAGCAGCTGCTTGGATGCTTACAGCACTTTGGATGTTGTTAATTTGTGAATTGCAGGTTGAACCTGACTAATCCAAAAATACCTAGTCTTCTGTGATTAAAAATCTGGGCCTTTTGAGCACAGAGTTGATAATACACTTGAAAAATTCAACTCCATGAAATTATCATGTGCAGAATTATCAAAAGTTTATAAACTTTCTTTAAAGCTGTATATGTAAAGTGCAGGCAAATGAGTGCTACATCAATCCATGTTTATACCTGAGCCTGACCCATAAGATATTTTCTATATGCAAATATTCCAAATCGTTAAGAAAGATTTAAATTCTGAAACCAAACATTTTTGGATAAGGGATATTGACCTTGTCTCTCTTCAGTTGGAAGGAACTATAGACAATGTCCACTCTCTACCCCAATGTACAAATCCCATTTATGTTGCAGCTTGTGAGGGGTCTGTATGCTAAGATGTAGAGTTGTATGTTGTGTCCTCTCAGGACTGACTGAAATGACCATGCTGGGCATGGAAGCTGTGGTGAAGTCAGTCACCACTGAGAGCAGTCCCAGCTTCCACACCCTCTCAGTCTCACAGAGATGCTTAGAGATCGGAGGATCTGACTGTAGCATGAACTTTAAAGAGTCTTATTAATAAAAACAAACCCAAGGCCAGTTATTGGGGTGAATGCTGGAAGATCAGAGAAGCAGAACAAGCCACAGCTTCCTGACCTCACCAATTCCTCAGCTGATCCTGCTTCCTCAGACTAGAAGCTTCTGTGTCCTCATCCAAAATGAATGTCAGCTGAACTGCTTCTCAAAGCCTGAAAGCTTAACCAACTCTAGTTCCTGGTCCCCATGCCTTAAATACCTTTCTGCTTCCTGCTATCACTTCCTGGGATTAAAAGCTCTTGTTACCATGCCTAGCTGTTTCCAGTGTGCCTTTGAACTCACAGAGATCCAGACGGATCTCTGCCTCTGGAATGCTAGGATTAAAGGTGTGTGTTACCACTGCCTAACCCCTATGTTTAATATTATGGCTGTTCTGTTCTCTGACCCCAAATAAATTTATTAGGGTGCATGATATATTGGAGAATACAATATCACCACATCTGATACCTGTCATTTATACAGTGTGTCCTTAGGAACAAGGACTCTGTGCTCAGCTCCATGTTGTCAGTGCAGCTAGTCAGTGACAAAGAACAGAAGTTCAGGAGAGGAGCCTCTCAGGGTTTAGCTTCTCACTGGTGCCATAGCAAAAGTTATTGTCTCTTCTTGTTGACTGATCCTTGTTTCATCTTTATTTTCAAATCCAGAAATTCCCACAAGTCCTCCAACAAGACCTACAACTACACGGAAACCCACAACTACAAGAAGACCCACAACTACAGCAAGACCCACAACTACAGCAAGACCCACAACTACAGCAAGACCCACAACTACAACAAGACCCACATCTACAGCAAGACCCACAACTACAGGAAGTCCTACGACTATTTCAGCAAGACCCACCCATGTACCAACATTACCCAGAATCTCCACCTCTACTTCTACAACACCAACATACACACAGACTCACACACCGGGTACAACCCAATGTGGTTCAGGACCTAGAGTCCTTCTTATAAGAGTTGGTATGACATAGACACTGAATCATGTCAGAAGTATAATATAGGTAAAGAGTGCTTAGCTGGGCTAACAACAGCTTCACAAAGTCTGTAATTTCCCAGTCATAAGTTACATTCACCCTCTGCTGTGCAAGAGCTTGAACATGGAGGATAGTCACCTCTCTATATCAGATTTCCAGGGGATTCACTACTAGCCAGACTTAGGTGGATCATTGATCTAGGATAGATGATGAGGATGGTCAGAATCTGGTCCAGCTGGACCTGACTATCTGATGAAAAACTAAAAAATGACTGAGAACTAGGGTCAGGGTGGGAAGACTCTTGACCACTTACATCCATTCTGAAATTGGGCCATCCAGCTGAGGCCATAGTTCAGGAAGGCTAACATTTAGCATTTCCTGAGCACCAGGCAGCATGATACGTGCTTTATGATGCAGAGTTTAATTCTCAGACACTTGATTCCTATATAGCTGTGACCTGTCCCTATTTTATAGTGACAGGAACTGACGGACTCAGAAAGTTCATGGTGGAAGTTATGAGGACAGAAAGTGGCTCAGACTCTGTCCCTGTTCACTTGGGTTGGAAGCTGGTTCTTCTGAGTCCAGGGTCAGACCTCTGCCATGAGCATGGGTGTTTGGAGGGTTTGTATTGTTTCTACATCCTCACTGGAAAGGCATCCTAACACCACCCTTTTAAAGAGTCAATGAATGACTTGTAAAGTTTACTTTAAGGATCTCTCAATTTATTCATGTAGATGAAAAGTCAATGTAAGTCCTTTGTAGGCATGAAAAAAACGCACATCGAATGTGCTTTAGGAAATGCTTTTGAATGAGGGCATGTTCATACTTCTAATTGCCTACAAGTAAAATTAATATTAATACATAGGAACTTGACTTATAGATGGAGAGAAGCATGTCATCCTGAAGGCAAGTCTGGGTTCAAACCTTGTACACCTAGGAGTGAAAAGATAGCTGTGAGAGGGGCTCTCGAGCTTCCTAGAAACTGTCCATCCCCTGAGGGAGGGCTGGATGCTGACAAGCAGAAGCCACACAGCTTTCTGTTGTCGTTGTTCTTAGGGTAATATGATGGGTGATATTTTTTCCCTGTCCTCTGACTGGTCACCCAGCACTTTCAAGCAGGAGGACCCTGAAGGACTGGGCTACACACCAAGTATGCAGAGAGCTCTAGGTTATAACTGGGATGTTAGAGCACAGGATTTGTGAGAACAACCCTCTGTTCCAGGCTGCTGCACACACTAGAGAACTGTGAGATCTCTCAGGACTGACAGAACTTTTCAATACTCAGTTTTTGTCTGTGTCAGGGGATGGGTTCATGGGCTGAGTTTGAAGAACATAGATAGGTTTTTCACTTCACTAGAAACTGAGATTTAGAAGAGAAGCATTGAATCATGAGCCCAGATGACCTCTTGGAAGGTGTTTAATATAATCTTATATTTCCATTGTTAGTTTCCTAAAGAATTGCAGTTAAGAGTTGACTGTCCTGTCCAGGCAGAAGGCAAATATTCTGGCTACTGTAAAAAGAACACATATCCTCACATGTACCTCATGTGCTCATCCTGGTTGTCCCAGATACTATTCATGGAATATCAGATGTGAGGTTGTAAGAAAAGGGAGAAAGTGACCCAGGCTAGGGAAGGAATTTAAGCTCTTGATGCCTTTTATCAAGAACTGAATTGGGTAATGTGTGACCATCTGACATTTGTGTTGTCCTATCATATCATTAGTTCAGAAGGACAGTCACATCCTCTCACATGTTTGAGTGTCAGGACAAAAGAGGACAGTAGTGCAGAACAGGAGGGTGTTGATCAAGTGTAAGGATCAGGTTGTAGTGAGGTAGGGGATCCAGAGAGACCCTGAGGAGCTATGAGAAGCCCAGGTTTAGGTATTCCAGTCTGGCCACAACCAACTTACTCCAAGATCCTTCCTTGTTCTGAAAAGGGAAGTATTTAGAGGATCCCAGAGAGGCAAGTGCTCATCTCTGTAGGTGAAGTGAGCTGTGGGTGAGAACAATGTAGGGACTCCAGAAGAAAAGGGAAACACAGGCTGCACTAGAGTGTTCCATGTGGAAGCCTTTGGTGAGCAATGGAAGATGAGTCAGAAAACACAGGAAGTCACTCTTAGTACAGGAATGAGTGGAGGACAGGAGACCTTGTCTCAGTCTGTCTGTCACTCAACCAACCAATCAATCAACCAAATATGAGAGAGGGAGAGGGGGAGAGAGAGAGAGAAACAGAGACAAAGAGGAAAGAGAGAGGGATTCCATAGCACAAGGCAGGCTGCAGAGTAAGAGTCATCCCCAGAATGATGCTGCTACCTTGAGAACTCAGTGATGAAATGGTCCGTCTATTCCGTGTTGTTCAGTGCGCTCATCTCCATGGAAAGAAGTGTGGATTATCTGGGGCTTGAATAAGACCTGCAGTGAAGAGGGTAGTGAGAAACTTCCAGGTCCCTCTCCTAGAAGGTGAAATGACCCTATTCTTGATAAACCGGAATCTTAACTTAGTGTCCTATTCTCCTGTGTTAATGTCACCTATGTGTCAGAGGAGTTCAGGAGTCTAGAATGGAAAGTGTGAGACAGTTCTGAATCCTGATAAAGCTGTCCAGAACATTAGGACACAGATCACTTGCTCAGACAGTGCCCATCTTTGGATACATTTCTCAGAGGATTCAGCCGAGGCAGATGTATGCAAAGGAGCCATTCCTGCTTAGGAGGCTGGGGGAGGCACTGGGGAGGGTGAAGGTAAGTTTTGTTTCTATTTCCTTGGTGGGGACACACTCCAAAGCTGAGACAATTCTTGCATTGTTCTCATTCCAGAACCCACTACATTTTATCGACATCAGACAACAGCTGAGGTGACAGAAACCCCATCCTACACTCTTGCAGGTAACTAAGTTCTCCTCCCTTATCCCCTTGGAAGGTCCAGATCTTGATGAAGCTGGTGAAGAATAGGCACCCTCTGCAACAATACAGATCTGACATTGTAAGTGGTGGCAGGGACAGAGACACAGCTCCATTCCACCTCCCCACAGCATCCTCAATTTGTCCTTTCCCCACAAACACCTTCATTCAGGCCAAACTAAGTTGTGTGACTTCTCAGAAGAAAAGAGTATCAGGGACAGTCAATGGCATGGAGTGTTGAAGATATTTAATTTAGGTCCTAAGCACCTGGTCATTACAAAGAGAGAGGCTTAGGAAAGGAATAGGGCTCACTGAGGCATGTGTATGGACTTCTCTATGCAGAGCACTTAGGTTTCTTTACATTGAGTATAAATGTGATGTGGTGGCTCTCAAGCCGGGTCTCTGGAGATGGTTAAGAAGTACCCCATCCCCTGCGGCTGTAAGTTTTGAAACAATGCTCCAAGATGTAGTTTACAGCAAACATATTTGAATAATTTTCTTCCACAAACAATATTGTGATGTAGATTTCTGAACAATATTTTTTACATTCAGGAATGGGAGAGAAGGGCTCTAAGTGCCAGGTTCCGCATCATTATTTCTGGAAAGTCTTACTTAAGGGCCTAAGTCACAAATAGAGCCTAGGATGTAGATGTTGCCTAAACCTAGTCATTGTCTTTGGCTCCTTGGAAGAGCTCTCATAGTGAGTAAAATGTAAGCACAGTAATGTGAAAACGAGGAGGGCTGTGAGTCATCTAACATTATTCTGCTGGGCAGGCCAGTTTTAGCAGTAGTTGGGGACTCCCATAGACCTGTAGTGTTCCCACTCTGTGTGGCACTGTGTGTACATTGCCAGCAGAGATGTCTGTCATTTGCTAAAATTAGAAATATGGAGTCATCTGATGTCTGCTGCTTCGTCTGTAAAATGAAGTGAAGGGGCTCCTTGTCAGAATGTTACAAACCTTATGTATGTCTGACATAGGATTCTGTGTTTCATACATAGACACAGAGAAACAATGAAAACAATAGATTCCTTGTTATAAAATAGACATTTCAAATGGACTTCAAATATATGATGTTCAAAACATGCTGTCCAGGGTGTCTCCTGCCATATTCAGTATTAACCCTCACATGGCATAAGAATCATTGGCCTAGTGGGTATTATATACAGATGTAGAAAAATATATAAATTCCTAATTTTAATTTATTTTTTCCTCTTGTTGAGTAGATTGGAATTACACTGTGACATCCTCAGACGACTTTTGTGATAATTACACTGTAAGTATATTCCTCCCCAATTTATTAGCCATGTTCACTTGTATATCTTGTGGGAAACAATCTGTATTTAAAGATTTTTGTCTGTAAGATTAGTTCACAGATATTTACATTAAAAATGAAAGAGAAAAGAAAATTAGTCAGATATAGTGGTATATTCCTTATTCTTAGGACTCAGGAAGTTAATACAAATATCAGAAGTTTGAGACCAGCCTGGACCATTAGGCAACTTGGGCTACATAGTGAAACTTTGTCTCAAAAACTGTAGATAAATAAATTAGTAAATATATAAAAACAAAGAAATTAAGCGTTTGTTACTTACAAAGGATGTTTGAATTCAAGATGTTCATTTAGGGTTCCATAATACTATTTTTCTACCCACTGACAATTCGATGTAGTGGCCACTGGTGATATTTTTTTTCCCACACATAACTCCACATAAGGTATTAATGTCCTAAACATTCTCACTTTTGCATGATTTTTTTTTCCTAGACTTTCCTGAGAACCTACTGAACACATTGTTTGAGGGCAGAGCTTAACTAACTTGTCCATGGTTTCCCTGACTGGGCAGAGGAGCCAGGATTGTGACTCCAGCCAGAGATGAGGCTCATACAGGTGCAAAGACCTGGTCTCTGGTCCTCCCTTTCCCTGCAGTTAAACCTATCCCATGGGCTCTGTTTAGGGTTGGTAGATGAGTGCTAAGCCATTAGAGGGGCCTCACCTGCTGCCCAGCCTGTCTCCTGCTTATTCCAGCATGTGGTGATCCCTGGTCACCTGCACCAGGGCACTAGGGGAGATTCTGCATTTCTGTCTGATCACATAGTGTTAATCAGGCTGCATCTAGGAACAGAGTCTTCCTACTATTTTTAGAAAGTTACTAGATATAATTGTATTATTTTTTTTCCTCAACCCCTTTCAAACCCTTCTACATACTCCCTCCTTGTTTTCTTTCTAATTCATGTTCTCTGTTCCTTTGTTAATATATATAAATATATTAATATATTAATACATGTAATATATAAATTATAATTATAATATGCAACATATTAATTTGTGGTATATAATTGTTAATATATACATATCAACTGTGTATGATATGTATTATATATTACATAAATTCATATTTAATACATATATCCTAAAATTGTTCATATAACCTGTGCAGTCTGTATGTTATTTGTGTGTATATGTTTCCAAGCTGACTATTTGGTATTAGATGTTTATAAAGACATGGAATCTTGAGTTGCATTTACATGACAAGTGGTGTCTGTGATGGAAGACCAGACCAGGAGCCGAGCACACTGAGAGCAAGTGAACTTAGAGATGGGCTACTCTTTTTTTCTCTTTTAATATCATAAGATGATTTCTGGAATTTAGGGAATACCCTACTGACTATTAAAGCAGACATAATCACATACATGATGTATGAACCTGCATTAAGCATGAGGTTAGAATTTTGACTGAGGTATCCACCCATGTAATCACCTCAACATAGAATATGTTTCCAACATCATCAAAGACACTGAATTCACACTGTCTTGGAGTTCCACTGCCCGTTACCACCTCAGTTCCTTGGGTCTTCCTCATATTCCAGACTAGCCACAGGCCAGGAGAGATAATGTTCTAGGAACTAGAGTCTAGGTTAAGGTCAAGCATGTGTTTTCTGTTCCTCTCACTTGCTGCCCCTGTGTTTACTGCTGTTTATTTATTGCTACTGTTGTGTTTATTTATTGTTTCCCTAGGAATCGATCCTTTCACAGGAGCGGCAGAAGAACACGACTTATGGCTTCTATGTGGGCATCTCCATGGCTGCCCTGCTGCTGCTGCTGTTTGTGTGCACCGTGGCTGTCACCAGTAAGTAATTTCACAACTGTCCCCAGGGAAGGAGAGCCTTAGCAAGTGCACATGTCACAGGGGCTTTGAGTTCACATGGTTTCTATAGCCCCAGATATAAGACACACTTGGTAAACATCTACTCCCCAAGGGATGTGTTAGGACCCACAAAACTCTTCAGGTGATTTCTGGTACCTGGTGAGTGCTCTGTTCAGTGATCTTGAACCATTGCTGCTATGTCTCCAAAGATTCCTACTCTGTAAAACTCATGTTGTCCATACTGGTACCGACCTTACAAAGTAGCTGAGAATGACCTTCAACTCCAGATCCTCCTGCCTCCAGCATCCAAGTGCTGGGCTCTCGGGGATAGGCCGCAGTGCTTGGCTGCACTCCTGTTCCCAACTCTGTTCTGTGTCTTTCAGCTGTTGCCATCAAAAGGGAAACATTATATTTTCTGTAAAATAAATTAAATACCATGACATGAGTTTATGGATAGGCTTGAAATATTTTAGGTGACCTTTGATGTGTTCTCTCTTTTCCTGCCCTTGGGATCTTACTTCTTTCTCAATATGATACTGTTAAATGTTCTGGAACATAGTAGAAGAGGCAATTGAGACATTGGTGGGAATCCCCCTAATGCTGAACAGACTATTTGAAGGCGGCACCCAGGCCTACATGGCCCTTTCCATGAGTTGTTCATCTGCACACAGTGTTTCTTTCTGTGTAGTCCATTCCCTGTGTAAGAACTTCAGCCATGGACTTTACAAAACACCATGCATGAGACCATTACTGACCTGTTTCACAAGAAGTGGGGAATAAGAATATGCCTGTCAGATTTCAGATATTTCCCTTAATTATTTAAAGCTGTTCATCCTAAATCATTATTTAAGGTGGATCTAGTGTCATGTGTTTATAATACCAGCATTCTACAAGTCTGTGGCTAGCCTAGGCTACATATCATATCATGTCTGAAAGGAGAATTACATAGAAATTGAGTAAAAATCCACAAATGTTGCCCCTTCCTTAGTTCAAAGTTGTTTATTCTTCCCTTACAGGTTTGTTCTCTAGCAGCTCATTAGAAAAAAATCCAGACTCTTTGTTTGTTTCAGTGAACAATAATTTACCAATCTCATTCTATCAAATTAGGTCATATGGATGAATATCCCAGACAATGAATGAAAAGAATATCCTTCCTGTGGGGTACAGAAAGGAATTACCCATAGTTACCAGGGGATGGTTCAATCAAAAAACAGAAGCAATATCCTTGATTAGGGGAAAATATCATGAGTGTTTCTGATGACATGTTCAATTATCCTTTCAATTTATCCCACCTCTACCCATTCCAATTTAGGGTACATTCTTATGAAAAAGAAGTCGGGGTCTTTAAGGTAAGTTGACATGGATTATGTTGATTCTTTTTGTAATAACAGTCTTGAGAATGTCTCTCTATGTTCTCTTTTACTACTAAATCATTCTTTACTATTTGATTCATTGATTGGTTGGTTGATTTGAGGCAAGTCTTATTATGTGGTCTAGACTGGCCTCAAACTTGCTATGTAGCCTAGACCAGACTGGAACTCACAGTTCTCCCGCCTCAGACTCTTTCGTTCTAGGATTACAGTGTGTTCCACAATTTGCTCGGCATCCATGCTGTATGTTGGATCCCAAATAAAGTTTAATGAGTCCCTTTCTTGTTGCCCTCATTTCTCAGAGATATATTCTTCATTCCGTATTTCCCGCATTTATGGTAGGACAGGAACAGAAGGCCCTTGATCTTCATCTCTTATAGGTAGACACTGAGGTGTTAGTTTTGCCCTCTGGAGCTGGTATTGAAGGAGTTGACTTGATCCACTCTTGTTTCCTCAGTGTTTTCTTTCATTGACTTCCTATTCTATTAAAAACTGATGAAGTGTATCACAAGGTGTGTAAGCTAGTAGACAGGTCCTTTTAGGTCCTTTTAGGCAAATATGATGGGGATGACAGGTTTAGAAGGTGGGCTACTCCAGGAAGCCCCAAGGGAGCAGAGGATTTAGAGGAAGATCATTTCTGAGACCCCGGGAGTGTAACGGGATGTGGTGTGGCCAGTGTCCCCACACTCCACACGTGTCCCCTGAACTCACTGCACTGGTGTCCGCCTCACAGGCTCTTTCCTGCACTTGTCCTGTTTACTGCACTTGGAAGCTCCTTTACTCTCTCCAGTGTTATCTGCCCTCCTCTACAGCCATCTAATATTCTTCAATCGACTGAAGATTGCCTGTCCACAGGACTGTGTCTTTAACTAAGTCTAATTCCATGTCCTTCAGGCTGCCTCCATAGACTTACCTGTGTCTGTGTTAAGCACAAGAACGAAGCCATAGACTGGGTCTTGACCAGTGTCAGGGCATTAAAGTGCCTGACACAGGTAGTTCTTATTAAGTGTCTGTCACACCTTCCCTTCACAGTAATAAATCTATAAGGTAGGGACTGCTATTAGTGTCATCCTATAGATCAAAAATAGGTTCATAAATATGAGGTCACACTACACTGGCCTCGACCCCAGGAGCCCATGTTTGGAGATCTAACTGGTAAGTAAAATAATGTAAAGCAAACAGGCTGTTTCTGGGCATGGAAAAGAACTATTCCTTAGAGTTGGAAGAACACAGCATCATTTTGGTCCATAATTTTTGTTCCTGTATTGGTAAGGCATTTAAAAAAATGTTAAATTTAAACTTTTTATCTTTGCATGTGAGGGAGAAAAATAGGGATAGGGATATGCAGAGGTGGGGGCAGAAACAGTGACAGGGACAGTACGTGAGAGGACAGGCATGAGTGTGTTCAAGTACACCTGCCTGGAGGCCAGAGGAAGACAGGGAGTATCCTTCTCTATCCTCACGTTGTCCTTTGAGGCAGAGTCTCCCTTGGACCTGCAGTTCACACGGTTTACTTTGCAAAGGCCAAGAAGCCCCAGTGATCCTCCTGCCTCTGTCTCCCTCAGTGCTGGCTTACAGGGATGCAGGCGATGTTCTACCTGTTACCTGGGGGCCTGCATCTGAACTCTGGTTCTCCTGTTTGTGCAAGGACCATGCTTAACTGCTGAGTCATCTCTCCAGACCCCAAAGTTACTTTTTAATCACTTAATATAAAAGAAAATATTGGAGAAAACACAACACATAAAGAAGAGGGGGAGAAGTTGGGGGAGGTGGCACACACCTGTTATCTCAACACTCAGTAAGTAAATGCAGGAGTACTGTAAGTTAATATCCAGCCCAGCCTTCTAGCAACAGTGTGTCTAAAAATAAGTGAATAAGGCCTTTATTTCCAACTCAGCAGGTAGAGGCGGGTGGGTCTCTGTAAGTCCAAGCCAGTCTGGTTTATGTAGGATTTTACAGGATAGCCAGGGAAACACAGTGAGACCCTGACAAAAACCAAATGATTGAATGAATGAACAAATGAACGAATGAATGAATAAATAAAGTATAAATAGTAAGTAAATAAATAAATAAATGCAATAAAGAAAGCCACAAAACCAAACTAACCACTACATGACACAATCTGGGCATTCTTTTATGACTTTCTCTGTCAGTTATATCACACTGACTCAGGAGTGTCCTGACCCTACACTGTTTCCCTACATGTGTGACTGTCCCAGGCAGAGTGGAGGTGGATCTCTCTTGTTCTGTGTAATTCTCAGCACAGGCATGTTCCTTATGTGGCCTACTGGAGATGCTCATTTTGATTCTGCATTTCAGTAGTAGAAATGGCTGCTGTGTACAAATGGTAAAATTCCACTATATCAAAACATCATCCCAGAGATCTTCTGTTTTCTTCCCTGGTTTGCCCCTCCATGAGTTCTAGAAGCTCAAATGTCAGTCCACTGTGCCTGCCCTGATGAACAGGGGCACAGGATGAGCTCTGCAAGTGACACCCCTCCCACAGCTATTGGGATGGGCCAGCTATGAACACCTGCAGTGCTCTCCCCAAATTCCTTTCAGTCCAGTACCTGATGTTTGTGTTAATGTGACATCTGTGAATGTGTGTCATACAGTAATCTTTGAAACTGTGGCACAGACCACTGGCTCCAGTGCAAAGACACTGCTGTGTTGTTTGAATGTTTTTCTACTCCATGTTTAACGTCAGAGGATGAAGATGCTGTGCAGGTTTCAAGACCCTTTCTTTTCAATAAATAAAACGTTGTGTTATTGTGTGCATGGTGTGTGTGTGTGTGTGTGTGTGTGTGTGTGTGTGTGTGTGTGTGTGCAGGTTCCACGGCACCTGTGGAGGTCAGAGGACAACACTGTGGAGCTGGCTCTTTCCTTCTGCCTTTCCAAGGGCTCCAGGGATCTCACTCAGGTCACAGGCTCCCTAGCCCTTTCTAAAGTGTCACAGTGCAAGTAAACACATGAGTTATCAGGTTCCTAGCCCAGTTTCCAAGTGTACTTCCTGATTAGGCACCTCAGTTTGATGTCTAGATATCTCTCTCTTTAGGTCTTCCACTTTTGTGTTTTATTACATTAGTATCTTGAAGGACTTCAATATGAGCTGCTTTTTTTTAAAAAAAAAATAGTTTTTAGTTTCTCTGATGCCTGTTAAACAAACTTTTCTATGACTTCATTGGAGGACCCTGTGTGGTGCTGTTTACTGTTACATTTTTGTGAATGGGGCTCCTGGAGTCCTGAGCATACATCATAAATGAAAGTTCTACTGAGACCTGAATAGTGACCTCTTGTTCTTTCTTCAACATCTCTCCCTCTGCAGCTTGGTAGCATTCCGTGTCTCTAAGATGGGAGCTTTTCAAAACACAGCGAATGTGAAGTCCAGAGCTGAAGACAATGTCTACATTATTGAAGACAGTCTTTACCATACAGATTGAATCCCAGTGGCCCTCTGAGGGGCTTCGTCCTGAGACTAGAAAGACAGCGACCAGATTGGAAAGTGCAAACACCCTTTACAGCTCCAGGGCTATTTTCTATGTCAGTTCATCCAGCAGTGGTGGAGAGGGTGACCCTCAGCTGTTTATACTCAAACTCACTGTTAACAGCATCATAATTCTAATATTCACACTGCCTCAGTCTCTCCACACACTGCAGTGCATTCTCTCAAACATGAACATTTTAGAATGTTGTGTTTCCTTTAGTCAACATAATCATCGGTGGTGTCGGAAATAGACTCTGGCCTTGGTTATTAAAATCATTAAGAAAGGAATAGGATTGAAAAGATTTTTAAAAAAAAAGTGAGTGAGCACAGGTGGGAGGGGCATCCTGAATTTACAAGTATTTCATGATCATGATTTATCTATTTTATTGTAATTTGAAATGTCACTTTCCCTCCCATCCCCAAGGGTAAACTCATGGGAACATGCAGGCTTTAATTTCCCTAATAGATAAATAGAAGGCACTCTAATGTCACTATTAGAGTTGGTTATGCTTTCTCATAGCTCTGGAAATATGATGCATTATTATGTGGTTGATCTAAGATAAGGATGGGTGTTTCATGTCAGGAGAGGCTGCCATGGTGAGAATGGACCAGGCAGACATCAGGGAAGAAAATAGTGGACCAAGGACTGAGTTCATTAGTGCTGTTTCCACTGCAGCCTGACTTGGTGCTCGGTGTCCTCTCCTCACCCACTGGACTCTGAATTAGGTGCTGGAAGGAGACAATGCAGAAATGAGGGGAAAGTGGGGAGCAGGACCCAGGATCTCTGCCTGAGAGAAGTCCTGTTCCAGGAATGACTGAGTTTGGGACTATCACTGTTTCATTCAGAGTTCTAAACATATAATTGTCTCCAGATCATCTTTACATTTAAATTTATTTCAGAGAGACAAAGTGATATAGATATGATAGGATAAAAGGACAGATTATTGAATCTACTTTTAAAGAGCAACAACTTGTTCAAAATGTTTTACATTGCTATGGATTTTAGTTTATTGATACCAATTTAATGTTAATTTTGTTATACTGTATGTATATTTCTACTCTTGTTTCAGGTATTATATGTGTACAGCTCATTGAAATTATAATGTATAATTAAGAAATACAGATTAATAATGAATCATTTATGATAATCAACCTTACAGTCATGTTAATTAGGTTTTCTAGATATGCAGAGATACATTTCAGATAGATAGGTAATCTTCAAACACTTCAAAGACCTATAGAATATGGCATTTAAATGTTTTAAAAAGTTAGACTTTCCTGGACAATTAGACACATCTTCTCCTGGCAGCACCAATTTACTTCAAAGAGGAAGATGGGCATTGAAGACACTCCATATAGAGTTTATCTTCTCCTTGGCAGAACTGGCTATTTGGGCAAGAAACTACTCTTGCCTGGACTGCTTGGCAAAATGTTGTATTGACTGGACATGCAGGACCCATGGAAAAATGACCACTAAATTCTGCCAAAACAAGATAAGATGGTCCTTCAGGTTCCTGCTTCACAGAGGAGACTGCCAGATATTCTACAGGACAAGGGAGAAGCAACTGAGAGACTCCAGGCCTATAGGCTGATGATGGATGCCGCAGTGTTGCAGAGGAACTTTGGGTGACTATCCAGACAGACAGCTGCCTCTGTCATTCTAGATTTTTGGAATTTGCTTACAATGCTTTTCCTGTTTACTTAGGTAATATTATATCCGTCTGGGGTCTTTGATGTAGTTGAAGATTAGATAGTTATAATTGTCCTTGGTTATGATAAAAGATAAATTAGATATGAAACTTTAGATTCACAAGCATAGTATAGATGACAATATTTTCATTAACTTTGCCAAATACAAATAGACTAGATATTGTAACTGTAATTCTTGCTTGATAACTGTTTTATTATATGTAATTTTACTATGTTAAAGCTAAAACCTTCCATTTTGATTAGATAGAAAAGGGGAAATGCTGGGGGATATCTTTCTGTATGCTGTGAATATGTGTTGCTCTAATTGATTAATAAAGAAGCTACTGTCGCCTATGGCAAGTCAGGTTATAGCAGGCAGGAAATTCAAGAGAAGGACAGGAAGAAGAAAGGCAGAGGCAGAGAGACACCAGCCTGCTGCCCTAGGAACAATATGCCAACATATCGGTAAGCCATGGAACATGTGGCAAAGCATAGATTAATAGAAATGGGTTAGTTTAAAATATAAGAGCTAGCTAGCAAGAGGCCTGCCATAGACCATACAGTTTGTAAATAATATTAAGCCTGTGAGAGTTTATTTTGTAAGCATCTGTGGGATCTCAGGGCTGGGCGGGACTGGAGAAAACTTCTGACTACCACAAAGCATTTTTTTCATAGTGCATCAGTTTGTCACAAGAAGTATTTGGCTTTGCTAGTGTTAATAAAGGCTGTTGTGTTGGTATATTGGTATATTCATTGCCAGTTTGGTTGTTGAGAAAGCAGAGTTTCTAGAGGTATTGATTTCTATTTCAGTTTGAGTAAACCCTGACTCCAGTTAGAGACACTCAGCCCGTAGGAGAATAGGATGTTGGATCTCAATGCACATTTCACTGTTGTTCTGTAGTGTTCTAGGAAATGAATATGTGTCTGATTGAGGATTTCTTGGGGAGGTCAGATTGTAGGAAGTTGCATTCTGGGTTTGCCAAAAGGGGCTTCCCTTGTCTCCTTTAAAAATGATTGTTTTTACATTATAATGATTTTTCTTTTTTCCTTTTCCTTTTGGTTTTTTGAGACAGAGTTTCTTTGGTATACAATGTTGTTTTGTAATTTCTTAATTTTCTTTTTCTTAAATTTGAGGGAACTACACATCAAACCAGGCCTTTTTCAATGATAGCCTGGATTTGTAGCTTTTCTACAAGATTTGTCAAGATCAACCTGGGTTCTAGAGTGATGAAGCCACTAGATGGGGCCATCAGCCCCTGCACTCTCCTGCCTCCTTCTTCCTGATTCTTGTCTAGTAGCTGCAGGACTCTGAGATTGTGATGCTTGCTCTGTTCTTCAGTGTAGCATGAATCTTAAAGAGTCTTATTAATAAAATCAAACCTGAGGCCAGTTATTGGGGTGAATACTGGAAGATCAGAGAAGCAGAACAAGCCACAGCTACCTCATTTCGCCAGTTCCTTAGCTGATCCTGTTTTCTCAGACTGGAAGCCTCTCAGTCTTCATCCAGAATGAATTTCAGCTGAATTGTGCTGCTCAAAGCCTAAAAGCTTAACCAGCCAAATGCTTCTAGTTTCTGGTCCTCACGCCTTATATATCTTTCTGCTTTCAGCCATCACTGCCTGGGATTAAAGGCTCACTTCTTGGGATTAAAGGTGTGTGTCACCAAGCCTGGATGTTTCTAATGTGGCCTTGAACTCACAGAGATCCAGAGGGATTTCTGCCTCTGGAGTGCTAGGACTAAAGGTGTGAGTGCCACCATTTTCTAGCCTCTGTATCTAGTGACTGTTCTGTGCCCTGACCCCAGATAAGTTTATTAGGGTGCAAAATATTTTGGGGAACACAATACCATCACACTTCAGTCTTCCTATAGATGTCTGATAGACATGTAGCAGTCTGGTTGTTAAGTTATTATTAACGGACTAAAGTTCTTGTGGTAAATTAGCAGATTCCATAGAAAGAATCCTTCTATTTAAGTCCTCATTACCACTTTGTAAAGCCTGTATCAATCCCATTAGTGTCTCATTTTTCCTGCCATTATTAAGCCAATTTTTCAGTGATATGAGATGGATCACTATGCTAATTGTTATTATGACAAACATTGTATACATCCCAGGAAATTCTTACATGTCATGTAAAATTTCATTCATAGTACAAACAAAAAAGTTTTAAAATTCCTGAGTGGTGATATTGTCTGCCATTTTTTAGGAATATTCAAAATTTGCAAAGAAATAGTTTATTAATTTGTTTATTTATTAATCAGTTTAAGGTATAAAATTATCGTGTAATTTTAACTCAGATGAACTCCTTGAGAGCTGGTCCTAACAGTCTTAGGTGTTCCAGAAGTCTCAGTTCTCCTGTCAGTTTTTAGTGTAGTAGTGATATTCATCCAGCAGATGTCGAAGGTATAGCATACAAGGCAACTCTGGTGTGAGCTGACTCAGCTCCCTGAATAAGCTCTGTGAATCAAACACTAACCCAGGCAACTGCTACTAAGGTCAATCCCCTCCCACTTTTCCCCCAGGGTACTCTTGAGGAGGGAGAGGTGAGAAATATTTAACTATTTAAATTAAATAAATTAAATAAAATTTTAAATTAAATATTTAAATACTCAATAAACAAAACCCATGCTAATTATAAGACACTTTTACAAACTAACCAGATTGTAGGAAGCTTACCCCTTTGTGGGAGGCCTACCCCTTTCAAAACAGAAACAGAAGGAGTTGAAACTTGTAGGAAGAAGACAGAAAAACTCCCCTAATTATGACACCTTTGTTAATTGTATTTTGGGCTATCATAAAAAGTGTTCAAATATATCTGAAGATGAAACACATTCCTTTAACAATTAATGTTACAAATTTCTCTAGACAGATAGACAAATTGATGGAGAAATTTAAACAGTTCTAGTGTGAACTTACATTTAACATTTATACATTTTACAGACTTATATTCAACATTGACACTTTACACAGACCTACATTCAACATTTACATCCTTCACAAACCCACATTCAACATATATTTATTTATACTTTTTACAAACTTATATTGAAAAGGAAACTCTATAGGTCTATTTTACAGACTTTAGCACATATCTAGAAGGGATTCCTTAGAAAAACTATTTACCAAATTTATATTCAAGAAGAAACTCTATAGAACTATTTTAGGGATATCTAAAAAGAATCTCTTAACAGAACTAACTTACACTAGAAAGACTCTCATAACAGAACTAACTTATTTCCTTTCAGCAAGATAAAAAGTACACAAATTA